TACCGAAGGTTTGATAAACATTCATTTCTCAAGGACAACTAGACATTGGTTAATTTTTTTGACTTGGATTTCTCGTTGATAAATATACAGTTATTCATTCAAATAGAAAATCGACATGGTGGAGATGATTTGTAGCTTAGGTGGAGTTTTGTTCTCTTATTTGGATGGTTAAGTCGTGGAGCTTTCATTGTTCTTCTGAATAACATCATCAGTATAAACTTCAAAGGAAATGTTGTTCAATGAACATATTGTGATATCTTAAACAGGTAATGTTGATGGGAATCACCTATACCAAAGGTTTGTTAACCAATAACTCCTTTCAATATTACTACACCAATTCTCACTCTGATATTAGATCAACGCCCATCTTTACATCAGCTTACGAATTATCAAAAGTTGAAATAGTAAAACAAACAATATAAATCAAACAGTTAGACAGTATAAACATATCTAAGTACACATTGATCATATGTTAATTAAAAGTAATCATATTGCTTGTTAGTACAAGTTAACAGTATAGTAAGTAAATAAGTTTAGATATACACTACTTTAATGTTTACTAAAGTAGTCTAAATATAATTTTGTCAATGTTTGTTTCTTTGATATTTCATTGTTAAGAATTATTTATAGCATTACTACTATGTGGTCCAGTTTGTACCATATTTTTGTATGGATTCATTGAAGTATTCCGCTTTATTCAGACAGAAATGATTCTATATTTTTAGGGCTTAACGTTAAACAACAAAAAAGTATTTCAGATGGACTGAATCACTTTTATACTTTGGGAAATCATTATGGTTGAATTAGGTAAATATTTTGTAGGAATGAACTGAGTGTATACAAATATTTTTAGCTCATTTTGTAGGTCTTCTCTGTCTATAGGCGAATCATGAGAGCAATCTCTCAAATAAATATGAGTATGATTAACTTTAGCTAGTACTATTCAAAAAGCAAATTACATAGAATGATGACCAATATGGTAAATTTTACAGGATATGTCTTCGTGGATTGGTTGAAGTTAGAAATTAATACTGTCAGATACCGATTAAGTTGTTTAGAGGTTAAGCGTTCGCGTGAGAGATCGAAGGTTCCGGGTTCGAATCCCAAGTGCGGGACCGTGGATGTGCACTGTTGAGGAGTTCCATACTAGGACGAAACGGCCATCCAGTGCTTCAAGACCTATATTTCTTGAACGAAATGTGACTAAATATCTGGCATTTTATTGTTTGAAAGGTAATAAATTGAACGTATATCACTTAATCGAAAAATTGCATTTCGTGAAATACAGATACAAATTTTGACAAATTTATATTTATCAGTAAGAGGTTGTAGAAATTGCTGAGGTTAGAATGATATCATGAATGGATCAATGTTAGATCACCATTGAAAACTTGGAAGCAGTGAAAGACCGTTTCTTCCTAGTATTGAACTCCTCACTAGTGCTCATCCATGACCCCGCATGCGGGATCTGATCCCAGGACATTCATTCTCATGCACGAACTCAACCTTCAAACCAGTGAACGTACCAGGATCCAACGGTATTAATGTCGAACTTCAACCGACCCACGATATTGCGCGACCATCCTCCACTTTCTTCAGTGAGTAACTGTCTCCTTTTAAAATAACATAATTTTATTGGTATAAATATAAACCTATAATGAAATCCTTGCTAATATAAGGCTATAACAAATCACGTTCTTGTCACTTACACTTCTAGTATCTCTTTTCATCAAGTTTATTTTCAATGTTGTACAATCGCAAACGTACGCTTACTTTTCAAAATGATAACAAGTACACTCGTCTACTTCCCTTCTATCAATCTCTATATACTTTTGACACCTAATTAAGCTGTTTCTGTTTCCATGATTCATCTGATTACATTTCATCTCAATTTCAACATATTATCTTATCACATTGAGCTTTCCTTTTCCCAATTATAACTTTTTCTTCCATCTTCATGATGAATATCGATATTCTCAACTACAAAATTATTATTAATCACCTTGGTAATGTTTTCATTATTTTGTTTATTCCACCTCGCTGTTACCATGTCTAACAAGATTTTATTATCAAACCATTATTAATAATAAACAAAGATGGATAGTGGCTAGCAGTGGAATCCAGGACGCGCGTCTATATAATCAGTCGTTCATTAAGACATAATGTATATTTGCATCGTTGCGTAATTATAAATCACTTATACATAATGAACTTAGATTCTTGAAAGTTCACTTACAGATTTTTCGAAAAATTTTTTAGTAAACTATAATACGAGTTAAAACAAATGCACACAATAAATGAATAGTTAAGTAGCTTATTTGAATACATAAACATTTGCACAATGGGTCACCAAATACATATGCGTCATACAATAACCATAAGGTTGTGGAGAGATAGAGAATGCAAAGTATGTATAATAAAAAGAACAACAGAGAACAGAAATTAGGGTATGGAAGTGAAATAATAATAATAATAATAATAATAATAATAATAATAATAATGGCGGAAACAGTAAGATCGCCACTGGCTTCTATTCTGAGCCACATCTGATAACGTCTCTAGTCACTGTGTCGCATCATCTCTCGGACCCAAGCCAGGGAGTAGTGAAGGACCGACACAAGCCAGTCCTTTGTAGCTTTCTTTCATACAACGACATCATGTCATACACTGACCACCTCTCCGCTTTCCAACCAGTCCCAGAGTCGGCAAATAATACACGAAGTGGAATTCTCTGGGACGACCTTCGTAGAACATGTCCAAGCCACCGAAGTCGGTGTTTCAAGATAGTGACACCAATTGCATTATCATCTCTGTTCCCGAACACACGATGCAGATCCTCTGCATTACTAACATGGTGTTGCCACTGCGTGTCAGCAATCCTTCGGAGACAGCAATGATCAAACACAGATAGTCGTCTAACATCCTCAACTCGGAGAGACCAGGTTTCAAAAGCATAGAGCAGAACTCCTCTCACCGACGCGTTGTAGATCCGATCTTTTACAGCCAGACTGATATCACAAAGGTGGCCCAGATTGGCATAAGCTGCTCTGGCTTTCACTATACGTGTATTGATCTCAACACTCACGCTACCATCAGCACTTATGCAGCTACCTAGATACACGAACTTCTCGACTACTTCTATCTGCTCACCATCAAGGGTGAGTACAGGATTAGGATCCTGCTAGACTTGTAAAAGTACTTTGCACTTCGAAGGTGCAAAGCACATACCGTACCTACGGACATTGATTGCCAACTGATTAAGTGCGGATCGCATGGCTTGGGTATTATCGAACAATGGTGCAATATCATCCGTATACTCAAGGTCAGAAAATCTTTCCTCGGGCAATAGATCAACGCCACCATTACTTACATCCACCAGGGCTGTTTCCAGAATGTCATCGATGGCAAAGTTGAAGAGGAATGGTGAGATTGGGCAACCTTGTCTAACTTCACTACGTGAATGTAAAAATTGAGAAAGGTGGTTGTATGCCCTCACTTTAGCTGAGGTGATTGTATATAGGGCTTTAAAGATGTTAATAAACTTCTCAGACACACCCTTCTTCAATACACAACCCCAGAGAACAGTCCTGCCCACCGAATCGAACGCCGTCCTACTATGAAGAAACACTACGATTATTGGCCTGTGATAAGTATGACGGTGACCCATAATCCTTAAAAATAGTCGGAGGTAAGTCATCTGGGCCTGCTGGTTTGTGGTACCTCAGGGATTAGAGTTCCTTGCAGAATTCCGTCTCTTTAGGTGGATCAGCCATCACAGGCCATGGAAGGCAGGACAATCTAATCGATGTTTTCGAGGCAACAGACGAATAGAACTGCTTTTTTAAGTTACCAATCACTGAATCCATTAATTCGATCAAAATAATTAAATATATCTCAATAATGATATAAATTACAAATAATCCCTTAAACATTTATTAATATGTTATATGAATAAATCAACTAATGAATTGAAAACAATCGAAAATGAGAATATATTTTTGATAATTACAATTTTTCATTATAATTTTTTTATATCATATATAAAGAAGATTATGAGCACCGTAAAATATTATTCTAACGTGTGATGTTTTATGGTGTAGGAGTAGGTTGGAAGAAAGCTAGGGGCGACCAGACCAAAACGTGGCACAAATCCATGAAGTCACTGACAAGTGGACTGAGTCATGTTGGTAGGTGTGGACTATCTGGTTGGGTTCCACGAGACGATAGCAACCGATGGTTAGAGACCTTGAGTGTGACATTGGCTCAAAATAGTTTGCAATGGCGCAGGTGCATCTACTCTCTGTGTCCTCCAAAATTCTAATCTTCTGAATTCTTGTTTCCCTTTCCAAATTTACTCCTTGAATAACACATTCAAACCCTAATCTTTCCGATTACTGCTTATACTCTTACTACCTCTACCACTACGGGATTTGAATCGACAACTGCATCTCTATGTTAATGTGGTATGGCAACTCGAGTTGGTTAAGCACCTAACGCGAGACTGATAGGTTCTGAGTCCGAATTTCGCGGGGTGCAGGATCGTGAAGGCGCACTGCTAAGGCGTCCCATACTAGGACGAAACGGCCGTCCAGTGCTTCCAGGTTTTCCATGGTGGTCTATCTTCAATTGACTCATGAATTCAACAAGTGAAATTTCTAAAAAAAATTTCCACAAAACCCATTCTGAAAATATACTTTAATCAAAGTAACTGATTGAATAACACATACCTGAATGTTATATCTATGATATAATAAAATAATTTATACATCAATACAGAAATTAGTTTAGATTTTAGTAAATGGAAAAGAAAACAATTATGTTCTAATATCATCGGTTGAAACAGGTTTAAGAGTGTTGTATTAAAAAGAGAACAAAACGACTACGTAAATTTACATGATGTAAAAGAGGGGTAAATACAAAATATAATTGAAATGATCAATAGTTTAATAAATTAGAAACTAAGAAAGTAATTTGAATCAGTGATTGACTGATACAATGAGCTGATATCGTGTAGGCATAAAAAATAGACGAATATCATTGAGTATTTAAAGAATGAATATTATGCTCTGTCTAACTGGTTAACAGAGGCAATACCAACGGTTGTGTGTATAAGATGTTGACGATTTACAATAGTAATACATACATAATCAACTTTAATTAGGATTATTTAGAGTGGAATGCTTCAATAATTTGTATAATTGTAGCAATTAAACCACCAAAACAACTTAAAAGACCAATGGATATAAAGATGATATGTTTAGTAAATACTGTTAACCAAAACCATGAGATTTGTTGACGATTAGGCCATAAGAAAATTATTTCTAAAGTAGCAGGTAATATAAAAGCAAGTGTTGATCCAGCCAATGATCCAATCAATGATAATAATAAATCTAATCGAGGAATTAAAACAGCTGCTGCATCTGGAAATATAAAGGACAATTTGAATTTTCACAATGGAATCAGATTATTATTATTATGATGATGATGAAGTTCAAAGTGATAAGAAGCGGTTCCAAGCAAGAGATCAACATTATGTAGGTATTCGTGAGAAATGAGATAGGAATTTTCCCATTCTAGATTTTAATTAATACCGTTAGGCAGTTTGAATAACTTTAATTTGAAGATTGATTTAGTCATTGAAACAATTAGAATGTTCCATTATAATTTTAGGTTGGTTTAAAATGTTTCGTAATAAACAGTTGTTTCTTTTTTTAATTAATGATAAACCGGGTGTTGTATAGTATTCCTGTAAGTCACTGAAGTAAAACGTAGTAAGTGACTAGAAGTGTCAACCGTTAGCTTGTATGATGTTAGCAATAATGCGCCCTTACTACCTGTGTAATATAGGTGAATAACATGAAACACTAAAATCATTCTAGATCATATGAAGTAAAATACCACATTCATTATGTGACAATATCCCTTTAATAGAAGTAAACAATGGTTAGGGTATATTGTGATAAGTAACATTGGCTTTCTAGCTGCTTCCTAGATACCAAAATGCTCTCACTATTGCATCAAAAACAGAAGACAAAATGTGATAACTGTGAGAAGAGGTTTTCATTTCACCGTTGGTTTAGGTACAAAGAACAGATATATAGCTTTATGTACAACTCTAATATTTTAGAAGCATCCTGGATGAAAAACCGGTATCTATGTAATATATACTTGTCCCTGGTGCAACGTCTGCACGCCAAAACCCAGGGGTAACGATTTCTCTAGAGCAATCACATCCACGTGGTGGGTTTGTATGCCTTGGAAAACGGAAAACAATTCAAGAAAAGCCACTTAGGCTTGACCAACCTAAATCCTGAAGTATGCTAAATTATTCACAGAATCGATAATTATCCTGTGTGAACATGATAATGAATCTATCGTTTTTCTAATACTATGATAAGTTCCTACTGAACTCAGTGGACGACATAGTTCCAGTAATTTGTGAAGACTTTCAGAGAAGTTTTCTAGGGCTTCCAACGCACGGCAAATTAATTAAAGTTGTAAACGCTGACAACTGCCAAAAGCGACTAAACGGTCATATAGGATTTCGTATCAGAAAACGAAAGAACTGTGCAGTAGAAGAGGTGTATCATCCAACAAAATAAAATTCTGATATACAAAATAATGAACACAAGAATAAACATTACTAAATATTTAACAAACAACCGGTTTGGATATATGAAAACTATATGTCATCAACTCCTTAATGGAATTAATGATTAACTATCAGGGCTCAAATCTCATTCGGTTCTATCAACTCTTTTCACAAAATCATGCGAGAATCTTCTCGGGAAACGTTGGTAAAACAACGATGTATTTGAATTGATTTTTATATTTTTCCGTTTCCCTGGAAACCAGATTCCTCTTCCGTCTATAAGACATCCCTCTATTATTTCCTGATTGTTTAATAACTATGTACACTTACATTTCGTAGTCGCGATTTCCGTAATATTAGTTTCCCAAAACAAGGTGTATTATGTAACTAGTTTCGATTCATACAGTTTGTGTTAGGCTGAGTGATCTTATCATGATCATATTGAAGTTTAAACGTGTAACAACTCTAAGCTACTACTTTACCGTCCGACATAAATCTAACTTCTTTACAAGCAACCCCACACCACAAATAATATCCGAATAATTATATTTTTACCACTTTTACTAAAATGACCTACCAATTCAACATGATTTGCATATCATGTGGTTCACTAAATGTTTGTATGAAACATTCATGTAGCAAGTTATACCATTCTACTACTGGTAAATACTATCAGTACATTTGTCTTAATAATTTCATTACACTGTGCTGATATATAGTGTGATAACTTGAATCGATGCACAACATTTACCAGGTTCAAGGTTGTTTACGACTAACTAACAGCATGACAAGTGACATTCGAATAGAACAGTCAGTGAAACAAATGGAGTACGAATAATACGATTATTCTTTTCTACGAATTAAATGCTTCATATTTCTCATAATTACAATATTAACTTACATGAGAATATAACCAGACTAATTCGCATTAATTTCAAATTAATATATCGTCGACGACCCGATGCTTCATGATGACACGTTAATTTCTCCATTAATCGACTGAATATTTGTGCTGGTACATAATATTGTAATAAATAACTGACAAACATTGCTATGATAAACAATGGTTTAACTGGAGCAAACCAACTATAATGAAAAATAATGGAAGATATAATAGGAAACAGAATGGTGCATTAACAGATCACTAGGATAACAAAATACATAATATGAAAGACGAATAAAACAGCTGAAATCTAAAATGTTGTCAAAATTCTACAAGATAATTGAGAAAACTAAGATCATCAGTAAGCTTAAAAAAAAACGTGACAAGCCGAGTTCAGACGGATCATGTACTGTTCCAACGTCAGACAGATCATTTACTTTTGCAAAGTTACATGGTAAAGAGAAGTGGAAAAGATAGGTAGGTCTATTCGTAGATGAGTATACTATTTGTCCACATGTCTCTGTTTAAGTGCAAATATATATATATATATATAAATTGATTCGGTTCTGACAGTGAGGCAGTTTACGCGGACTTGCTGTACTTATTCAGCACAGATGGTTGGATAACTGTCAGGAAGCCTCTATGTTTCCCTGTCACATAAATTGCAAATCGAGTGAGACTAGAATTATATCACTGGAACCTAATCCAGTGGAAGTTATGGTTAAGTGTTTGCACAAGACCTAGACGGCATATTATTTATTTGAACACATTAATACTGGTACAAGGAGGCGCCAAATACATATGCGCCACACAAATTTCATTTGATTTGTGTGAGGGCTGTGATACAGCACGGGTGCCCAAACCGAAGCAGGTCGTTTTCTTAGGGGGCCACACCCGAGGCCTTCGACCTAAAGGTCTGATCCACAAGGCAGTGGAGTGTCGTAAGGAGATGCAGTCACATGGTAGCCGGTGACCAACGATTGGTTCATACGCCATTTGTTCCCTCAGGATAGTGGAGCCCATGTCCACGGTTGGTTTGGGATCAGGGTTTTCCAACTCCCCTAGGTGGACTCTCTGTGTCCACTGGCCCGGTTAAAGCACCAGACATTCGCTTTTCGTCCTCTCAATTTCGTACACAACAACCCCGCTACGAGAAGGCAGTGAGTAAGACTTCCCTGGTAGTAATTGTATGCACGTGACCATGTGAGAGCACTTCGTGAGGGAGAGCAGAGTCTCCTCACTCTCGGCCGTACCAGTGCACCTGGGGGCGATCCTGATAGTATAACTCGACTGAATCATCTAGACAAACAAGGCCCCCAAATGCCCTGGTATGGCCGAGAGCGGGGTGGGTTCGCCCTCCCTCTCGAAATACTCTCACACGGCCGCGCGTATACAGTCTCTGCCAGGGAAGTCCTACTCACTGCTTCTCGTGGCGGGGGTGTTGTTTACGAAAATGAGAGGACGAAAAGCGAATGTCCGGCGCTTTAACCGGATTCCAAATCTATGGTGCACATGGGCACCAGTATCCTGATAAAACAAATGGCTTATGAACCAATTTTCGGTCACCGGCTACTATAGGACTGCATCTCCTTACGATGCTCCACTGCCTTGTGGGTTAGACCTTTAGGTCAAAGGCTCGGGGTGTGGCCCCCTAAGATAACCATCTGCTTCGGTCTGGGCACCCGGGCAGTATCGCAGCCTACACGCAATTAATGAACTGAAATTGTGTGGCGCATATATATTTGGCCCACTCCTGTACCAATATATATGTGTTCAAATAAAAATAAAATAAAAGACAAACAAGACTGTATATCATATCAGAATAAGTTATGGTTGGATACTAGAGTTATATAGAAGACTTCAATAGGATTGTATAGCTACCAATATTTTATAAGAATAATATGTCATCAAATAATAATTTCAAATGTAAATAATCTTTTAAGGTCAATCAAACTGTCATTTGAATAGTCCATTGAATTATTTTTACAAGATCATTTATGAATATAAACAAACAAAAAAAAGAACAAAATAATTAATGTTTATCATATAAAATTTCTTAGATAAACTGATAGTGTTTCTATTAATTTCAATTAGATTTAATTATATAAGTTAAATAAACTTTGGAATTTTAACAGATATAGGTTAGTACAGTGTGAATGGTAAACCACTTCAAAAGAATTTACCGAATAGTATTATGTAATATATATCACAACACAATGTATGAAATGAATAAAATAACAATATACAAATTT